TGCCGCCCAAATTTCCCTAGCTTCCACCGTACGCCTCACGTGCTTGTTGCGTGGATAGCTCTTGCAATAAAACAAAATAAAAACAATTAATTAAAAAGAAGATATACTAAAATAATGGGAAAGTAAAATTATTTATACAAAATAGTAGGTTTAAAATGTCTCGACGTCCTTAAGTTACAGGCCCAGTATCTACGTTATGCAACAGAAGTGCAGACTTGTCACGCATGGGTAGGACTCCTTGATACAGCTTCAGGCGCTGGCCGTTGACTTTAAAGACGGACCCTTCGTCTATGTTCTTAATATCTATAGCGTCGTATGGGTAAACATGGAAGACTTCGAATGGTCCCGACCATCGTGACTTCAATTTCCAGGGAAGAGTTTGAGCCTAGAGTTAAACAGGAGCACTTTCTGGCCAACATGAAATTACAGTGGCAAAAGCATTTTGTCCTTCCACTTCTTAGTTTTTTCTTTGTAGAGCTTGGCATTTTCATATGCTTGCGCTCGAAACTCTTCCATTTCATTCAGATCGAGCAACCAATTCTCCCCAGCTAGTTGCGCGTCAAAGTTCAGCTTCTTGATCTCCCAGTATGCCTTATGTTCTAGCTCAACTGGCAGGTGGCAGGCTTTTCCATATACTATCTTGAAGGGTGACATTCCCAAAGGTGTCTTGAATGCCGTTCGGTAGGCCCAGAGTGCTTTATCCAATTTTGGGGACCAGCCTTTCCTTCGGGGGTTCACCACCTTCTGTAAGATTTGCTTGATTTTAGGGTTGGACACTTCAGCTTGCCCATTAGTTTTTAGGTGATATGTAGTGGCAATTTTATGTCGCACTCCATATTTTTGTAATGTCTTAGCAATTAGCTTGTTATCAAAGTAGGTGCCTTCATCACTGATAATGGCCCTTTTACACCAAATCGAGTGAAGATGTTATTATGAAAGAAACTTGAGCACCGTCTTCGAGTCATTCCACGGTATGCAATTCGCTTTAACCCAGTTAGATATATAATCCACCGCAAGAAAAATGTATAAGTCTTAAAAAGAATATGGGAAGGTCCCATGAAGTCAATGCCCCAAACATCAAAAAGCTCTATCTCCAAAATATTTTACAGCGGCATTTCGTGTCGTCCAGAAATGTTCCCAGTGCGCTGGCATCTATTGCAAACTTTGCAAAACTCATGGGCATCCTTAAATAGTGATGGCCAGTAGAATCCTGATTGGAGGACCCTTGCAGCAGTCCTCACACCTCCAAAATGCCATCCACAGGGTGTTGTGTGACAATGGTGTAAGATATAACATACCGTCGAATCATTTGATTGACACATTGCTTGAACAAGTACGGCTCATCCCAAAAATAGAACTTGGCATCATGCAGAAACCTCTTCTTTCCTTGGTTATTCAATTCATAAGGAAAACACCACTAACAAGAAAATTAACAAGGTCAGCGTACCACAGAATTGCCGTGGCATATAAAATTTTCTCGTCAGGGAATCTTCTTTAATATAAAAAATGTCATGGCAGTGTGAAATGTTTTCTAGCCTAGATAAATGATCTGCAACCTGGTTCTCAGTACCTTTCCTATCGATTACCTCTAAGTCGAACTCATGCAATAGTAATATCCACCTAATCAGTCTAGGCTTGGCATCTTTAATGTTCACTAAGTTTTTTATAGCTGAGTGATCGATGTGAACTATGACTTTGGTGTCTATCAAGTATGGCCTAAACTTTTCAAATGCAAATACCACGACAAGTAATTCTTTCTCAGTGGTGGTATAGTTCAATTATGTCTCATTTAAGGTACATCTAGCATAATATATAATGTGAAAAATTTTACCTCTATTCTATCCAACCACAACTCCCACGGTAAAATCACTTACATCACACATTAATTCAAACAGTGCCGTCCAATCTGGGGGAACCACGATCGGTACAGAGATAAGTTTTTACTTCATCTCTTTTAATGTGCCATGGCATTTCTGATCGAAAATGAACTACTTGTTCTGTTGTAGAAGGGTGCACAATGGCTTGGATATTGTGGAGAAGTCCTTGATGAATCTTCTATAAAATCCAGCATGTCCAAGGAAACTCTGAATGCCCTTGACAGAAGTTGATGGGGTAGCTTCTCGATCACCTAGATCTTGGTTTTATCTACCTCAATGCCTTTTGTAGAAATTTTGTGGCCTAGAACAATGCCCTATGTCACCATGAAGTGGCATTTTTCCCAGTTTAGCATGAGATCGGCCTACTCATATCGTTTCAGTACCTTTTCCAAATTACCGAGGCATTTTTTAAAGTAATCACCCTAAACAGAAAAATCATCCATAAAAATTTCCAGAAAGTCCTCAACCATGTCTGAAAATATGGCTTGTATGCAGCGTTGAAAAGTTGTCGGGGCATTACAGAGTCCAAAAGGCATTCTTCGAAAAGCATAAGTGCCATAAGGACATGTGAATGTTGTCTTCTTTTGGTCCTCTAGTGTGATGGAAATTTGGTTATACCCCGAGTATTCATCCAAGAAATAGTACAATGCCTTGCCAGCAAGTCGATCCAGCATTTAATCGATGAACGACAAAGGAAATGATCATTCTTGGTGGCCTTGTTGAGCTTGAGGTAATCCATGCAGATTCGCCACCCCGTGACAATATGTGTAGGTAGTAACTCATTATCTTCACTAGTACCATGATCGTGACTCCTTTCTTTGGCACGCATTGAATGAGACTCACCCAAGAACTATCTGATATGGGCTAAATTACTCCAGCGTCAAGCCATTTGAGAATCTCTTTCATCACAACTTTCTTCATAATTGGGTTTAATCTTTGCTGTGGCTCTATGGATTTGTCATGGCATTCCTCCAACATGATTTTGTGCATGCAGATTGTCGGACTTATTCCCTTAAGATCTGTCATCGTCCATCCCAACGCTCTTTTATACTATGACAAATTACTTATCAAACTATATTCTTGGTTAGGAGTGAGGGCAGAGGAAATAATCACAGGCAAAGTTTCATTACTACCCAGATAAGTATATTTAAGATGCTGTGGCAAATTCTTAAGTTCTAGGGTAGGAGCATACTATAATGAGGGCTTGGGAGGAACAAACTCTTCAAAATTCAAAGGATCGAAATACGTACCTGGGCTAGCTTTGAGGAAGCTATCTTGCTGCTCCTTAGTAGAGAAATCATTAGGCTCTCCAGCCTTTAAGTCTTTGAATATCCCCTCATCAGGTCCCAGCTGAATAAAATTGTCCTGGAAAAATTGACCTGCTTCTTTCATGATTACTGTATCCACTTCTAAATACTTTGGAATTCTTCAGAGTCATCCATGTATTTGAGAGATAGGAAGACATTCACAGTTACATATTGATCAACCACTCTCATGGTTAGCTCACCTCTCTCGCAATCGATGAGAATACGACTGGTAGCTAGAAAGGGTGTCTCCAAAATAATGGGTGTTATGGCGTCAACCTAACATCCAAAATCATAAATCAATTGGAAAAACGAATTTGTCAACCCGCATGATGACATCTTTAATTCGCCATTCAGGACGCACATGTGAATGATAGGCTAATTACAATATGACATATATGAGTCTCGCATTTCCTATCCCAAGCTTCACGAAAATTGACTTAGGCATGAAGTTCACACTTGAGCCAAGGTCACATAATGCCTTCCCAACAAATTTGTCTCATATCGAACATGGGATAATAAAACTGCCGAATCATGTCTCCTTGGTGGCAGCTTGCTTAAAGAAGAGCAAAATTATTTTATCATGGCAATTGTCTCGTACTGCTCCACTTTTCTCTTCTTGGTAACAATTTCCTTGAGAAATTTAGCATATGTAGGTATTTGTTCCATAGCCTCCAGAAAAGGAACATTTATTTGAAGTTGACTCAGATTGTCAACAAATTTTCTAAATTGAATATCCTCGTTATGCTTTTTCAGTCTTTGCGGAAAAGGAGGTGGGGGTCTGACTTCCTGTACTGACGGGGTGTGAACAGAAGCTGCCTTGACAATTTTATTTGCCCCTCAGTTTCTTTACTTGATGAACCCTCAGCTTTTTCCTCTTCCTCTGGTGTTTCTTCCAACACTTCTTGTTCAGCTTCCACGGTTAAATGGGGTGAATTATCCTTCGGTTTTCCCTCAAACTTGTCTTCAATATTAATACGTGTAATACTTCGGAGTGTTAGCTCACTGCATTGCTATTTGCCATGAGGTTTTGTGACTTCATTGTCACTCAGCAGATGTCCTTGTCTACGTTATTGTAATGCCATGACAATTTGACCAACCTGACTCTCCAACACCCTCAACGACGAACTATGGCTCTAAAGCAGGGCCCCTTGGTTTTTGATGGAGGTCGTATCGTCTTGCACATTTTCTTCATTGTTGATATGAATTCTTGTATTGTGGCCTCCAAAGAACTAGTGTTAGATGAAGATGGCTCTCCATTGTTAGAATTATGCCATGGCATATTCGATTGAAAACCCTGGGAGTCATTCAAATTCTTCTGCTGAGCTGGTTGATGTGCATTGTTGGTTCCTTGATTACCCCATAAAAAGTTTGGATGTTGACGTCATCCAAGATTATATGTGTTAGAACAGTGGTTGTTGTTGCCTCGGTTGAAGTTGCCGACATAGTTGATGGATTCTTGATTGGTCGGGCAGTCACTCTCATTGTGATTGTCGTGGCATAATAAACATGATGAATTGGCTGCCTTCACTTTTCTCACCTCACTCGGCCTTTGCAAATTCTTTAACATATTGGTGATAGCAGCAAGTTGGGCGGACACTGAATCCTTATAATCTAGCTCGAAAGCTCCATGTGATTTTCGCCCAAGTCCAAGCCTTGTGGATGGAAATTGATAATCATTAGTGACAATCCTATCCAGAATGTCAAATGCCTCTACTGGTGATTTTTCAAGTAATGCCCACTTGCCGAGGCATCTAGAATCATCCTCGTGGGTGCATTAACTATATTATAGAACATCACCACTTGCGTCCAATCCTGAAAACCATGATTTGAGAATTTACGAAGCAATCCCTTGTAACGATCCCAACATTCATAAAATGACTCGTCATCATCTTGACGAAAAGAAGCAATGTCATTCCTCAGTTGGGTGTTCATGTTCGGAGGATTATATCGCAGCAAAGTTTTTTGCACAGATCAGTCCATGACTCCATAGAACCCACTAGAACGCCACTCAACCATGCCCTTGCTCAGTCACGCAGAGAATATGGAAATATCTTTAATTTTAGAACATCTTCGTGTACTCCTTGCTGGCGAAAAGAATCGCACACCTCCAAGAAGTTACGAATATGTTGTCTGGCATCTTCATTTGCCATGCCCCCAAACTTCCCTATAGAATTCAGTATATTGAACATGACAGGTTTGAGCTCGAAGTGGGTTGCCTGAATTTCTGGTGCCACTATTCCAGGATTTAAGTCGTCTAAGATCGGGTTTAAATGGTCACGAATAGCACGAGGTTTGATTGTATTCCCAGCATTTGGATTTTCCTCGGCATTTGATCACCCTCATTACCAATGCCTTGATTTTTGATTTGATACATATTTGCACGTTGAGCTTGTCTTCTTCTCCTAAAAAGCCTATCGATCTCAGGTTCAACTGGCTCTAATGGCTCGTCAGGATGTCCTCTGGTCATACACCAAGAAAAACAAGAAAAATATAAGAAAAATAAAAGTAAAACTATATAGAAGAAATATAAACAAGTAAAATAAAAATTCTCTGACAAAACAATTTAACTTCCAGTTGCCAATTCCTCGGCAATGGCGCCAAAAACTTGTCCGCTCTTTGTGAGTACTAAATATTGGTGCGGAAATATGTGCAAGTATACACAATCGAACAAGTAATACAGTGATAAGTTGAGTATCGTCTCCACAGGGAATTGAGGAAATCAAATGGGTTTGTCAAGGCACTTTACTTTGTCATTTAAGTAAAGTTAGTGGTGGTATGTAAAAATGAGAATACTGTGGCAAAATGGAATGACTGACGTGGAAATGGAATGGTGGTAATGTGGTCGCAATTGAATATGTCGTGGCAAGTTGGATTGAAATGTCGTGGAAAATTTAATTGTGATAAGTGCAACAAATAGAAATGTCAAGGCAACATAAAATGTAAATACTGGATTTAATGTATATGACTTCAGCTTTCTCTCATGACAAGCTGCTTTGGGAATGAGTGATAGGAGTCACTAGGAAAATCTAAGTCTATTTCTCCGAATGGTTTAATCTTTATGCCTCTTCTGCCCGACAGAGTCTCCTAAAGTGCCCTATGCTATCTCTAGTAAGGGACGCCATATTGAAGATGCCCAGGGAAAACCGATTAGCGTAAGCCCCCTACAGTGATCCTATTGGTCCAGATAACAACATATGTCTTGGCAATACCTTTTTACGGTAGCATTAACATCTAACCTATCGTTCATGCAAAACTCTTTTAGTCGAATAAAATCCTAGCCTTATCTTTAAGGTGGATTAGGTCTTGTTACTACCTAGAACCCCTTCTTTATGTAGTTCCTCCTTAGTTTCTCTCGAACACTAAGGATCTGCTATCTCGGTATTCTCTCGAACCCAAAGAATCTACTAAGGAATGCTAGTCTCGTAGCTCCTACAACCTTAAGGCAATAAGTATCATAAACAAAATAGATTATAACATATAAAAAACAACCATTCATTGAAATAAAACTTAAACATCCAAGTGAACTCCCACCAAATAGGCTTAGTTCATGGTGGGATTTGAAATAAACAAGCATAAAGCAAGTTTCATTTGTTCCTTACAACCTAATAACAAAATATGAAAGCAAAGAGCTAAGGGGAGGAGAAAAAGCCTTCGACGTGCACTGTTGGAGCTTCCCTCGGCCACCAAGAACTGCCCCCAGCGAACTAGCTCCTCTTGGATGCTTAGAATGCCATTCCCTCAAGTTTCTCACAGAGAAATACCACGGCAAGTAAGATTGATAGAGAAAGCTGAGACCTTCTCTGTCTAAGTTTTTAAGCTCAAATCAGCGTGGAACTAAAGTCTTCTTCATTGTGGTTTCATCCTCTATTTATAGGGGAAAATTAACCCTAGGACTTGGTGTTGACCTTCCTAGGATATCCCTAAACCATGGTTAATTTACTTGGGGATCAGGCTGGGTTGCTATGATCCAGCCTGGGCTGCAGGCTGAGTACCTGGCATGATCCCGCTGTAGAAGCCCAAGGACAGACAGGATGTAGAGAGCAGACAGCGTGGTCACCAAGATCGACTGTAGCAGCGCCAGTCCCTCCAGGCGGATCTTCAGGAGGTAGATTTCTCGAAAAGTAGGGATAACTGGTTTCAAAAATATCTTCTTCACTTTGTTTGATCTCGAAATACCAATCCAACACGGCATTTTCATTCTGCTCAGCAGTTTCAATATGTCACGATATTTCCTTTCCTATTTTCCTTGATCTCAATTCCTGTAAATCATCAAACAAGCACCTTTCAAATAAGGCAGCACGCTTTGAAAATAAAATGCCGCGGCAAACCAAATTCCACCACATGCAACTAAATGCTTCTAAATTCCATTACATGGTCCAAAATGAGCTCTTAGACATTTAATAACTTAAGTGAAAAGGTCCCAAAATATGGCCTTTTACGGAGTTATCAGCAGCCCCATCACAAAGTCCCTTGATATATTAACCCATGGCTCCTTTGGAATAGGAAGAGGCATGTATAGGCCATGGGGTATAACCTTTGACTTAGCCTTTTTGAAGTAACACATTGTTCACATATCCTTTCAATTTCTCCATTTATTTTCGGACAATAGAGGTATTGGTTCAATATTTTTAATGTTTATTTACCCCAAAGTAACCAATGAGGTCTCCTTCATATGCTTCTCGAATGAGTACTTCTCGAAGTGATCCTTAGTGAATGCATAGGCGCCCTTCCTTGAATAGGTATCCTTCGTGCTTATAGAACTTTTTATCTATACCTTTTTCACAAGACTTATACCTTTCTCCAAAGTCATGGTCAGTAGAATAATAATCTTTGATAAAATGAAAAACCAAGTAACATTGAATCAAGAATGTTAAGAAGTGTGTATCTTCTTAATAGAGCATCAACCACAACATTTTCTTTGCCCTTCTTGTAATGGATCACATATGAAAAAGAATCCAGAAATTCTACACATTTAGCATGATGCCTATTCAACTAGTGTTGTCCCTTTATATGCTTTAAAGCTTCATGGTCGCTATGAATAACAATTTCTTTTGGGAAAAGGTAATGTTTCCAAACTTCAAGCGCCCTGATGAGAGAATACATCTCTTTGTCATAAGTTGGGTAGTTTAGTGAAGCATCACTTAGCTTTTACTAAAGTAAGAAATGAGCCCTTCTTGAGTTATAACTGCTCCAATTCCTATTCTGGAGGCATCACACTCCACTCCAAAAGTCTTATCAAAGTTAGGCAATGCAAGCAAAGGTGCATTTTTCAAACAGACATTCATCTCTTTGAAGGCATCTTCTTGTTCGTTGCCCAATAAAAAGGTGGAATTCTTTTTAATGATCCCTGTTAAGGGGAGTCAATAGAACTGAAATTTGGCACAAACCTCCTATAGAAACTTGCAAGGCTATGAAAACTTCTTATTTGACTAATAGAAGTAGGCATTGGCCATTCTTGTAGAGACTTAATCTTTTCGGGATCAACTTCCAAACCCTATGAATTCACAATAAAGCCTAAGAAAGATAGATTGTTAGTGCAGAAGACACATTTTTTCATATTATCATAAATCTTTTCTTTTTGAAGAGTTTTAAGGATATACCTTAGATGTTGTACATATGTTTCCAAATCATTACTATATATCAGAATGTCATCAAAATAAACAACACAAAACTTACCAATGAATGGTAGAAGAACGTGATTCATTTATCTCATGAAGGTGCTAGGAGTATTGGTTAAGCCAAAAGGCATTGCCATCAATTCATACAAACCTTGCTTTGTTTTAAATGAGGTTTTCCATTCGTTACCTTCTTATATTTTGATTTGGTGACATCAACTTTTAAGATCGATCATGGACAAGATAGTGGAACCACTCAACTCGTCCAACATGTCATATAACCTTGGTATGGGATGTCGATATTTAATGGTGATTTGATTCATTGTACGATAATCCACACACATCCTCCGTGAACCATCTTTCTTTGGGACAAGTAAAACTAGAATGGTACACGGGCTTAAGCATTCACAAATGTACCCCTTTTCCATCAACTCTCTAACTTGTTTATGAAGTTCTTTGGTTTCCTCAAGATTGCTCCTAGACGTCGATCAGTTTGGAATGGTTGCACTAGTTATGAAATCGATTTGATGATTGATCCCTCTAATGGGTGGTAACCCACTAGGAATGTCGTCTTGAAATATTTCTTTAAACTCCTGCAATAAAGATGAAATGGAAAAAGGCAAGCCATATGGAATTTAGTTAAAAGGAAGCTTTCCTTGTATAAAAGTACAATTAGAGCTTTGTGTGATGAAATATGCTTTCGGATGTTCTTTCCTCCATCATAAATATTTATCTTTGTTGGTTCCTCCTTCTTGATGGACTTTGAATCCTCAATACGTATTTGCAAAGTATCGTGATCTTCAGATACTCGACTAGGAGAAAGTGGAGTCAAAATGGCGTTCCTTTCATTTTGGAAGAATGGATATCTGTTTATCCAGCCATCGTGAACAACCCTCTTGTCAAATTACCATGGCCTTCCTAAGAGTAAATGGCATGCATTCTTTGGCACCACATCGCAAAGGACTTCATCTTGGTATTTCCCAATGGAAATGGAATTACAACTTGTTTGATGACCTCCACTTCTCCTCTGTCATTTAACCATTGCAATTTGTATGGTGCCGGGTGTTTGATTGTATTTTATCCATGCTTTTCCACCATTAATGTACTCATAACATTGGTACAACTTCCTCCATCGATAATCATGAAACAAACTTTGGTGTTTACATGACATCGGGTGTGAAAGATGTTCTCCCTATGATTTTCCTCCATGGATTGAATGTTTAGAGTCATTTTAACAAATAAAACTTGCCCTGAAATAGTAGGAAGATCTAACAACATGGTTAGTGATAATAAAGAAAAAATAAAACC